TGAATACTGGCTTGGGAAAAAAAACACACGGAAATCATCTGTCTGTACACCCTGTTTGTGCAGTGTGCTTTGGTTGTAATTATTTCTACAGAGAAGTTATGGATCAGCATGATGGAATACATCTCTGCTACAGACACCCCATCTCTAAATTACGCTGGTATTTTTCAAGTCTAAGTGCTGTGGCTTTTACATAATATTCAGCATTTTGCTTAGTCTCCAGCTCCTAGAGGGGGGTAGGATTGGAGAGCTCAGCTTTCCATTAAAAGCCTTCACTCTCCTGCTTCTGGAGAGAAAGTAACCAAGTGATCTGCATTTACTTGGAAGGATAAAATATAGAGAGCAAATATAACACCCAGCAATTTTGAAAACCCCAGAACACCACCTGAGGCGTTAATCTTTCAGAGTTTTTCTGGGAGAGGTTGAGGAGCTCAGTCACAGCTTTTTGATGTTGGGATTGGCAAGGCAAAGCACAAGACTTAGCTGCTATTAACAGCCTTCCATGGCTTTGCCAGAGAAGGTCACTCACAAGGTCACTCTCACCTTTTCTCTGATGCTTAACATGATGATAATGCCTGAAGCAATTCCTGCCCCACAGAAAAGCTTTGTAACCCAGGTGCTTGCAGGAAGGCACCTTTCCCAAGATGCATACACACAAGTTCGATGAAAGGGGGGGGGAAAGGAAAAGAAAACCACCAAGCTGGCTGAAGCCAGGCATGCACAGCTACCCTCAATAGAGAACGTGCATGTAGTTTTCCTCTATCCCAGTATGGTTCAGTCCTAGAGCCTTAACCTACCAAAAGATTTTCATTTCACTACAGACACCTATACTGAATATTTAGGCACCATTGACATCACCAAAGACTTCTTTCAGGCCTTGATTAACAAAAATAGTCCCATACTTGCCTGCATTTCTCCCACCAGACATGAGCAGAGCCCTCAGTCTGAGCAGTGATGAGCTTCCTGGTACCGACCATCCTCTTGCCTGTTCAGCAAACAGGACCAATCTAGCAGATGTTCCCCTGGATGTATCAGTTTAGGTTGGGGGTGAGCAGAGAGAATAATACTGGTGATATTATCCAAGTGGTAGTATTCATGTTGACAGGGGTTAGAACAGCTAGCTGGCATGCAAGAAAATCCAGGTTTGGGTCTCCAGGGAAGATAACATAAGCATAACCCAAATTTTCCATTGCAGTGCTGTGTGTAATGAATATTTAAAGCAGAACCACTGCAGTGACAGACAGAAACTTCCATTTTGGGTGTTTAACTTGTAAAAACTTAAGTCCCATCTCTCCAGCATCCCGTGATGAACTCAGTTGGTTTCCCATTTAGTATGCTGGCTTTGGCTGGGCATCTGAGCTTCCCCTTAAAGAAGAGGTAAGAGCCACGTTTGGCATGGATCTGCCAAAAGTGACCCTTGGGTAGAAAGACAAGGGAAAGATTATCATGAAAGTCAGCATGGAGATCATATCAGTCAGCAAAGGTGCTGACTCCAGGAAGAAATCTTTTTGCAACCCATCATTTCTACCACCCCAAGCAGGAAAATGCATTGTCTCTGCATCTGCACAGTGAAAAGCTTTCTGCTTTGGCTGTATCAGATACACAGTGAAGCAAGTCATGGGACACAGGAGGAGCCTTCTCTGTGGGTTCACTAGGATGGATCGCAGTAGCTCTACTCCCAGAACACCTCCTAACCTTACCCTACACCCTGCTGTGCTAGGTATCATCCAACAGAGCTAGAATTCAGTCTCACTTCTGGGGTTTATACTGTCCCTGGCAAGAGTATCACAGTCACAGGTAACAAACAAGCAAGGCAAGCAGCTTTAATGTTTTGTGCTTGGTTCTTGCCATTCACTCACACTGCAACGCCCCAGCTGTGAACTTTTAACCCTGAACTTGTTCCAGATTGTGAGCCTTCGCAGCAGACAAGTCATAGGCTGTAAATCCGCTTTTCAGAGAATGGCGTCTATTGAGCTATTCCCCTCAGTGTTTTGCTGCAATTCACTTCCAGTCCACCTGCTGCTTTTCTGTCTACTCAAATGTGTGTGTTGGTAGTAGTAGCATGTTACTCACCTGTGGGAAGGAGAGAAAGGAGAAGCAGATAAAAAGAGGGGAGACCATGTGATGCAGTGAGAAGACCCAAGGATGCCTCCATATGCCTCATCAACCTGTTTTAGAGAAATACTGGATTTGACAGCATTTCCTGAAAGCTGAAAGAAATCCAACCCTCTTGGCAACAAGCAAAGGTAAGTAATGGACAACTAAAATGTTTGCTTTTGGGTGAAGGCTCTGGGCTGTTTTCTAGTATTTTCTACTGTCTGTCTCCTGGTTACTCACTGGAGCAAGGGGGACCGCAGACGTGAGCCAGGGCAGAGCTCCTCTGTGCAACATATGTGCACCCAGACAGTGGGATCTTCCTAACTGACACTTTAGCTGCTCCAAGGATTGGCAGCCAGGGCAGGTCCCACTGGCTGCTGGAGCCCCAGCTCTCGAAGGGTGACGTTAGGCTTGGGACGGCAGCTCCCAGCTGCTGACACAGGCTGCCCCAGTGGGCTGGCTCCCTTTAACACAAAGGAGAGGGCAGCTGCAGGGCACTTCTATTGTCCTTTAAAAATCAATCCCAGTATCACCTGCACAGGGCTAAACTCTGTTGTAACCTTAAGACAGAGTGAAATCAGCTAATTTTAAAATAAAACTTGCTGATATAACAAAATGGTGTGATGCTGACTTGGGTACAATGCGAAAAATCCCAAGCAACACTTGTTTTAACAGTAAACTTCTCTACCTTTTACAGTAACGTCCTAAATTGGCACCAGAGGGTCCTACGGCTAAACACAAAGATGCCTTGAGAGAGATTAATGTAAAATGAAGGCATGGCCACTCACCCTCCCTCACAACATCCCTTCTACTCCCATACATACCCAAAACACACACATTTGTCTGCCACTAGTTTAGTCATCACAAATTAAAAAAAGACAGCAAGACAAAGACTGGTTGAACCAGTAGTAGAGCTTTGTTAATTCATGCCAGGCAGCAGCAGTGGCAACAGCTTGGTGCTCAGCCTTGCTGACTGCTCTTAGAATAAACTAAAGCCATCATTCCAGCAAGGAGGTTACCACAGATCCCTGCCATAAAAGGAGTAGATTGCTCTTAAAATCTAAGAATGGCTAAATAAGAAACAGCTCCCTTGGCTGATTTCCTATGCTGGCCCCTACTGCTACTGAAAAAAAATCCCTCTTAACAACCCAGAGAAAAATAAAAACCAGCTGAGTATCTCTTAGATGGCTAGTTTTCATATTCCCATTCAAGACTGTCTGTTTTGCTGTTGGCTCTGCTCTTGGCATGAAATTGGCCCTGAGGTACCAAACTGGGGGGATAAGGGACAAGTGTGGGTTTAGGGCTGCTAAACCTTCAGCTGGAAAACCGCACTCACAAACACAGAATCTGCACCTCACTAAATAGCAGACTGTTATTCAAGCAGAGAAAATTCTAAAAGTTACTTCCATAAGCTAACACCCGACTAATAGCAAACTGGTGCATGCTAGCAGACCAAGTCTAGTCTTAGTGTAATTAAAATGGAAGCAGATCTAGTTCTTCAGAGCCAAGATCTAGCTAACAAGCCTGCCTTAGAAACAAATCAGATCTATAATAAAGCAGCAGCCTTCAATGTGTGGGAGGATAAAATGCCTCACAATTTTTTTCCATAGGAAAAAGATGTTGGAGAAAGAGGTGGAAGGAGGTGAACAACATTTTGAACTTTCAGGTAAGTGCTTGCCTCTCCCCCACAAATCACCCCCGCTTTGGGCACATCTGAAGTGATCAGAAAGAGTGGATGTTCTTAAAAACTAAGGGAATCGTAGATTTACAGTCTAGAGATATATCAAGTATTTCCCAACTCCTTTGAAGAAGGGAAAAAAAGGTAACTTGCTTCCAGCTTCTCTATGTTTTGTTTCACACATACATGTCCGAACAGAAGCAGAGTTTGCTACACGAGTTGAAAGTTAAGGTTTATTAGAAAAATACTTAATCTTTGATAGCAGGGCATATTTTACACATCCAGTTAAAATGCTTTTTATCACTTTCATTGAAATTCATGATTTGTTAATAACTTCTTAATGCAATCTTTGTAGTTAACATACTTGTACCCACAGAATGAGTACCTCTAATGGAAGAGCATCTTACTGAGAGGCAGAGAGCCTGTTCAGGAAACATTACCTGTTTGTACTGGGAAATCACAGAAGCAATGCCATGTTTTTACAGCCTCAGCATATGTCACAGGTTCCCTCTTTCTCCACTGGGGATTTGTGGGGAACATAAACCCCAAAGTCATCAACTAAATGGTTCACAAACCAAGCATCAAAATAATGAATGGTTTCACTGGCATCCACCTCTACTCTGCATGATGCACTATTATTCCTTCCACTGCCACACATACAGATTCAAGAACTCTAATCAAATAACTGTTTTTCAACGGCTGAAGGGCCAGTTCAGTTTACAGAGAAATCCCTGAGATTACACATAGCATTAAGCTAGTGTGTAGGTGTATCTTTTAACAAGAGACTGTGAAATTTATAACAGATAGTACCAGTGTGAACCACACAAAGCTGGCAGTACTTGTCTCACTTTGTTGATGGTTGATCATGGTTCAGTGGTTCTTGATTGCATAGTTTGATATTTTCCTCCTATTTGTACATTAACATCTATCCACAGGTGTAGTAGGAAGCATCCCTACTTAGAAAGGTACCAGTAATCACTATCCATGGGGCTGAATGCTCCAGGGGGGTTGGAGGTGCCTTTGTGTCCACTGAAGAACACTTCTACATCAATGCCAACTCTAAGAAAGTGCAATTGTACCCATCGGAGTTAGCCATGCAACACTCCAACCTTCCATGGAAAAAATACACATACATAGCCACTAATCATTCTGGCATGGGATTGTGGTAAGAACCTCTGTGTTCCTTAATTGAAGGCTCAGGCACCTTGAAGAATGAATCCAGTCATGATTACTCTACTTCTTCCTCTTCCAGTGAAGTCAAAGCCTTCTCCTGCAACATAGGAAGAAAACTTACGATTATAAAAGCGATATGGACCCTCATCCTAATTTCAACTCTGTCAGTAGGTTTGCCAGTAGGATTTCCTGACCTCACATGCTATCTGTTCTAATGGACACAGGCTGTACAGCTGCTGAACGTTTCCATTCCTTTCATGAGGCACAAAAGAAACAGGATCTCCATTGCAAGTGCCTCCCAGAAAATCCAGGTAAATGAGCTACAAGGGGCAGCAGCTCAACACCACTGCTGGCAAAAGAGCACCTTGGGCAACTGACTTTGAAAGAAGGGTAGGAAGATGAGCAGATGCCTTTGTGGACAGGGAAAGTGGAAGCACAGCACACCGTAAGGGCAGACTCTGTGAACTGCTGAACTACTATGCTGTCCCTAGAACCTGCCAACAGCAGATTTCTAGGGAGAAGTATAGGTTTAGAGCAAGGACAAAAATTCCTGGTGTTTCTCCCAGCCTTCAACTATTTGTGGTGGAGAGAATGTCTGTGCCAGGAGTGGGTTTTTTTATGCTTAACGACCCACCATGAATGTCTCCTATTGATTTTTTGGACCTATGTGAATAAAACACTTGCAGCATAGAAGATGTCTTGTAGCAAGTAATTCCACGGCTGGAGTACATGCTGTGTTAAAGGATACGCAGTTTGGTTTGGTTTGCATCTGGCCCATGTTAGTTCTGTGGAAGTGTGCTGCTTCAAGCTGCCCTAGGCTATGCACGAGTCAAGGAAGGGAAGATGCATACCCAGCCACCCTGGTCCTGAATCCACGGCTTGAAGTGCTCCCTGAGGTACTTTAATCCAAAGCCCAAGACCAGGTTCATAGGATGGTTGTCCACAGCAGTAAGTCTGGTGGCAATTTCCATTGTAAAGGCAACTTTCACGCGTTGTACCTGGCCTTCTGGCTCGCTTGTTGTATCTGCTAAGACGTTCTCCAGGAACAAATCAGTGATCCTTTCGAAGAAGGTGTAGGACAGCATGCCTGTAAATTGCTCATAGAAAACTCTGTCCTTTTTGATCTGAAAATAAGAATAAGGATTGGGTAAATTGAGACACTTTTGTAATTGCTTTCCCCTGCTCATCTCTAGGTAATACACGCAATATTGTCTAATCACAGTGGTGAATCCAAGAGATGACACACAAACTCCACACTTCACTGCAAAGCTGTTCCTTCAAGCTTTGGAGGTGGCTCTGTTTTTTCCTTGAAAAAATCTTCAGGCTTGTTGCATTTGAATGAGAGAAGCAAAGAGAGAGAGAGAAAGCAAAACAAGTGTGACACTGATATTGAGACCTGCAGGTAAGGAGACATGGGAATACAGGAGCAGTGGGAGGATGACAATAAAGGCAAAGTTATGAGAAGTACTGGCAACAGCTGCCATGCTAAGCTCCATCTGCTCAGTCATGGTCTTTGTTGTGCTTCTTACTGTATCTGGGTACCTCTCTGCTGTAGGAGCTGAGCACATCCACCATGTGGGAGTACACCTTCATAGAACAGAAGGGGCAGCCAAAGAAGGGAGTGAGGGGAACAGGTACCTGTATTTTCAACAGAGAAAGCATCTGCTCCAACTAAAGGACTCATGTGGGTGTTCTTCTGTAGCTTTTGGGTGGGGCTTTCAAAATGCACTCAGAAGATTTATTTCCCTACAGCAACTCTCAAAGCTGTAGAGTTTTCCCTCCCTCCACTGGGAAAAACTTGCTAAATTTAATGCAAACACAATAATTTTTCAGAGTCAGTCAAGTGCTCAACGTGCCATGAAACTCAACAGAAACAAGGAAAGTGACTCCCCTTTGAAATGCACAACGTTTTTGTTGCCTTCCTCCCACACCCCTACAGAGATCTCTGCTAGTCCTCTGATCTTAAGAAAGACTTCAGGATGGATGGTGAAGGTTTCAGAAAGCCCTAAATGTGGAAAGAAGTTCAGGACAGAGACAGTGTGCTAGGTTACAAAACATTCACTCCCAAGAGAAGTGCAATCTCCCACTCTCCAGCCTGTGTAGCTCCTGAAAACAGGAGTTACCTTTTCTTCTAGTCGGTCCCCTGATTGTTTTAACAGTGAAACTATTTTTTGTATTATCTCTTCTTCGTTGTCTAGGTGGTCCCCTGAATGTCTTAACAGGAAAGCTATTCTTCGTAATGAAATTTCTGCATCTGTTAAAGAAAAGAGTAACATAAATATCACAGCCTTCTACTAGGATCCAAACAGCAAAACCAAAATGGCAGAAGCCTGTGTGTTACTTTAACCATGGAAACAGCTGCCGTTTTGTGGCAAATTCACAGAGTTGTGTATCCAGGATTTGAGCAGAAGCTCACTGTTCTAGTCTGTGAGCAGTAAGCAATGCTATTTCTCCATCTGCCCAATGTTTTGCTCCAGTTAAGAATATGGGAAAGAGGGGCTTTAACATCCCAGTACTAGTCCTTTGGGCTTAGAGGTATGTCTGATAACAAGCCAGAACAAAAGAGCAGCTAGTGGAAGCCCACAAAAATTGACTTAAAATTAGGGCGAAAAAATCCCATCATCGTTACCAATTATACCTTCTACAACTCATTAAGAGAAACTCTGGCTTTGCCAGATTAAAGAAAATGCAAGTGTGGCAGGATCCCGCTTGTAACCAGAAATCCCTAGAAAGCTTGTTGAGCAGTTTTGTCTTGTCACTGAAGAGGGATTGACTGAGACATTATTGCCCCAAGGACTGGTCTTTGGCCTTAAAGCCCCAGTGTATCACTCTGCCCCTGGCCCTGCCACTCCTACCGCTGCTTTGTTACCTTATGTCACTTTACCTTCATCCTCCTTTTTTCATGTCACACCTCCTTAGATTTTTAAGGATGCTGCCTTTAATTGCAGTAGCAGGCAGGACTTAATAGAGGACTGCAAGAGCAGTCCCTGAAATGTGAGCAAGAGAGCAAGAACCAGCAGAGCAAGGTTCTGGGCAAGGACAGGGCAAGGTCTTGCCGCAGAAGTCCCAAGTGCTTCCCCATGTCTAGAGAAAATGCCTCAGTGTGCAATCCCAACTGACATACTGCCCGTGAGTCTGAAATTCTTCACACTTACCATGTTCCTTGCCCTCACTTCCATCAGTAGGATCACTCTCATCTTGTTCCTGACTGAGGTCACGAAACGGTGTCTGGTATGACACATCTGAAGGAGATTCCTGGGATCTGGAAGTAACAAGCTTGGCAAGTTGGTCTGCAACGTGGTTGACAACTGCTGTTTCACCTAATTGGGAAGGAGGGTGGGAAATAAAGAAGGAAATTAATCTTTCCAGGAAATAATTCAGTGATTTACTAATTTACATGCCCCCTGAGGTAGAAGTGCCCAGAGGATACCAAGAGACACATTTCCCCATACTGGGGCTTTGCTACTGCTTGAGATCAGTTGGTAGTTGTTGAGAGAGACAAGTGATGCAGTACGACCCCTCTGTAGTATTTGAGCAGCAGCTGACTATACAGAGGCTGTACAGAAGCAGTTGTGAGTGTTGCTCACTAGTGTGCATCCTTGCAAGCCAGAAGCACGCCGTGTGTTAAGAAGTGTGAACATACTGCTCTATAGGACTGTGAGTCTTAGACCTTACTGTGAGCATGGTATTGCCCACGGTCAGTTCCTCTGTAGGTCCAGATTCAGAAAAGAAGGTGTGTATTTGAATGCCCTTTCCTTGTTCTCACAGGCTAATCCTCAGCGGAGGAGAAGCAAAAGACTTCACTTCAGAAGCACCTCTAGCACTAAAGTTTCTCGTGTCCTTTACACTGTTGTGTTAAGCAGACATGAATATTGGGGGAACTCAGCAACCAGACTGGCTTTATCCATCTTGTATAATGACCCTGTTCAGGACCCTCGCTGGCTGCAGGCATCGATGAGGAGACTCCAACAGGGATCCTGCTGTACTAAAAGGGCAGGAGGAGCTGTTGCAAGGTTTATTTAATCTAAAAGGTGGTCTACCTTACAGAATTTGGGATGCAAAACTCCATCTCCCTGGCAACACCGCGAAGTGGCAGCTCCTGCCTGACCAGTAGATGTTGAGACAAGCTCAACAGCAGTCTGACCCATAACACGTGTAAAATCCAGAAGCAGAGTTTATTGTGAGGGCAGCAGGGGCAATGCAGACAATAAACAGGGCATTCCAAGGCTGATGAATCAACCCCAAGATATTTCCATCCTGTTGTCTGCATGCAGAGTTTGCCAGGGAGCTGTGAAAGTTCTAGGAAGGAGATGAGGCTGTTCATGACTTTGGAAACCTAAGATTAGGTGGTTTAAATCAAACAGGCCTCCAATTTAGATGGGTAAATTCCAAAAGCACCCCCATTTGCTCTAGAATGGTCTGGCCAAGCTTGCAGTGCAGCCACTAGCAGTATAAATGGAATATAATAATAGTTTTAAGAATTGGTCCAGCAATCTGCTGAAGGGCAGGTAAAACTTGGATTTGAAGCCAAGCAGCAGCCCTGGGAGGTTTTACCTGGGGTCATGCTGCTACCCATGCTGCAGGGAACATGGGAATGTATTGGCAGGGCCATCAAGTGATTGCATCCAAACTCTCGAGTGCTTTCCTTGGCCACGTGAAAATAAAATGGACGTAAAACCAGGTATCTGAATGCAGACATATGCCCCTGGCAACCAAATGATGAAAAGTTATAGTTATTTCCCCACAGCAAAAGGCACTGGGCTGAGGCAGGGACCCTTTTGTGAGAGACAGAGCTGGATGTGGCAGCAGGGAGAGTTATGGGCTTGGTGGGTAGGAGCTGGCCCAGGACAGTTAAACTGATCAGGGATGGGTCATTAGGCTGGAGAAGTCAATGATGCATAATTTTTAGAAATATCTTTAAATGCAGTGAAAGAGGAGAGCAATCAGTATGGCGCCAACAGTATCAAGCTGGGACAAATTAAACAACCCCCTGTGTTATGTATATGAAAACAATATGGCAACCTATCTCATACTTTATATGGCAACTTAATGTGGATACCTCGTCCTCTTCTCTCTGTCTTGTATGAAAAGTTAAGGGATGAGTTATCCAGAGCAGTAATTAGTCACCCAGAACAGAAAAGGTAAAATCTCATTGCCTGCAGTGCAGCACCTGATCTGGGGCTAGCTTTGGGGGCTGAGTTAAAAGGTATTCATGTGGATGTGATCACTGGATGTCGGATGGATTACAGCCACCTACCAGCTCTTCTTCCACCACATGGAAGGGCAGGTTCAGACTTAATATAAAAGCAATGTGGAAAGGAGACTGAGGTAACTCTGAAAGACTGTTTCCATTCAAGATACATGGTGGGGCTATGAGAGGTGGCCCAGAGACATGGGCTGCTCTGTGCTTGAGGCTGGTCGCTGCCAAATGCTTGGCACCAGAGTTTCAAGCAGAATCTAGCACTTCTGTCTCTAGTGTGTAATATTTGTCACATGATAAATCTTCTTGAATGGACCTTCAAACAACTTCTCTTCCTTGATTTTAGTGTGGAGGTCTTCAGTCTGACCAGTCGGTTTTTTATGTTTTCTTTCTAACAGGTATAAAAAGAAAAAGCCAATGCTTGTAAAAAGACAACCCGTGCAATTATACAATATCACCATACGATGGAAAACAGAAAATACAGTCACAAGCATGAATAGTCTGTGTGCAGGCACTACTGAAGATCTGGTAATCTGCCTTCCTAATTGGAAATCAGTACAGCTAGCACAAGAGGTGACCAAAAACTGAAAGAAACCACCTTCCTCCTCCTCCCTTTCCACAGACCCCGAGCCATTTAATCTATTTAGAGAGAGATTTGAAGACAAGCAGCAAAAGGAAAGGACTAAGACATACTTGTCTGATTCTGAGAATTCCCTTCTTGACGGCTTTCAGATTGGGCCTCAGAAATGGAGAAATGTGCTGCACAACCTGGGTACAATGACAGCATTGGGGGCTCTTCCTGATTTCCTCTGCCACAGAGAAAAGGTAGATGATATCCTGGCCAGTATTTTCTTCTTGGTTGCTTTTTGCTCTGCTGTTGCATTGGACCCTGATAAACTACTCTTCGGCCTAGTCCTTCGTTATACCCTTGACGGTCAATCTTTACTTTTCTCCTGATTAAGGACGATGACTTCTGCACATTAGCCTCATTTTTGAGAAGTTTCCTGTATTTACTGGCAGACAACCGCCGCTGGGCGTAGGCCATTAGGATCTTGTATTCTATGCTGTCTCGCTCATCATCTTCCTGCAGTATTTCTTCCATGCTGTTGTCATCTGATGAAGACATCTTGGTTCCTGCAAGAACACATTCTTAGTTTTAATGGCTTAGGGAACAGCCTGTTTTTTGTGAATACCAGTGAGTACTTGACATTTCTACAGAACCTTTCACCAAACACTTTATAAACCTCAGTGATGTAAAGAATATTGCAGTATCTGGGAGCCAGAGAAGCACTGTTTTATAGAAGGAGAATTTGGTTACTGTGAAATAACTCTGGTGGCAATTCAGGCTATCAGAGAATGGGAAAAAGTGATCTGATACGTTGTTCTTAACTGCATTTAGTGGCTTAGACAGGAAAGATGAGGAAATTCAAGGAGTGTTCAATAGTCAAGGTCTAGTGCAAGAGAAGAAGAAAGCCTATAATAATAGTAACTGATTCTTGGGATGTAAAGAAGAACGATTCATCAAAGCACTGCAAAGGAAAAGCCTATACTGTGGCTTGAATGAGCAAGCATCTAAATACATGAGAACTGTGCTTTCAGAGAGAGCTTTGACAAATTTGGGCCCCGAGTGCTCTAGGTAGAAAAGCAAACAAGAACTAGCTCAAACATTAGGAAAAAAAATTATATTTACCTGTCATAATGTTCTCAAGTGTCCTTTCACTTTAGGGGACCTGAATCAACAGGTGTGTTTGCGTGCAATGGATGGTGTGGTGGCACTTATCTCGTGTAACTTGTTCTTCTCTAAAAGAACATACCAATCCCACAACACGCACATGCATTTTGACAGCTTCCTGTTTCCCTATGTGTTGCAGCTCATCAAGCCACCATGTGAAACTCTTAAATCTTTGCTTAGCGCTCAACCCATTTGCCACCCAGCCTCTTTGCAGCCAGAGCAACAAAGGGAAGAAATGGGATTGATCAGCTGTAATGCAGTGACCTAGATGCTGTGGAGGTTTTTTTTATTCTTGAAAAGACGTCTTCTGCAGAGCCCAGGTGAGGTTTTAGATGTTTGAGCAGGCAGCCTGGACCACCAGCAGTAGGCTTTCTGCAATATCTCTGTTCAGTGACCCAGTGAAGTCAAACAAAACTGCTTATATCCAGAACCTGTCACTGGGGTGTCTGTTGCTGACAAGCCAAAATAGGAGGCTTCTGTTCCTACTGCCCTCTCTTAAGCAAGTACCAAATTCACTTGCACTATGCCCTCAGACTGACAGAAGCAAATTTAAGCTAATTTCTTCCTGTCTGGAATATCGTTCAGCTATTCACTGCTTTAAATGTAATGCTATTGGACATTTAAATCCTAAGCATGGAGACTCACAATTGGGAGTTAAACACACACCACACATCCCTGAGTGCAAAGGAAAGTCAGGGGGAATGGGGTGCTTGCTTCTCGTGTATTTTTAACTAATGCTGTTGGGTTAAGAGCAAGCCATTCCTCCTAATTCACAGCAACAGAGCAGCTGCTCCATAGGGGGCAGCTTTCTAGTGCAGCCTTATTCTGCAGGGGTCTCCAGGCACAGCCTGGGGTATGATGGGCCCTGGGTATCCTGTTTCTTCCCAGGTGCTGGGTGGCAGGGAGATTGCCAGGCTGCACTTCAATTGCAGATCACCTGTCTTTACTGTGCAGAGATCTGAAGCTACTACTTCCTTCAAACTCCAGGAAACTATACATTGTTGCGTGATGATCCATCTGTTACCCTAAACCTTCCCTTTTCCTAAGTATGAGGGGGAAATAAGTGATATATATGTATGTATGAAGCACCAATCTTCATCTGGTGTAAACCAACCTAGTCCCATGAAAATCCACAGGATTTTCTGTCTTGAGAATACTGTCTTGCCTTTAACAAAAGTCTGGCTTTAAGCTTCTGAATACCTCTCTTTGGAACAGACCCCTCACCTCACATGCATCTTATTTCACTACTCAGGTGTAGAAGGTACCATTTGTCTTCAGGATCTAGGTGGTGTTAGGACTGACACACTTAAAGGGGGTTAATAAAAATGTTGGAATTGACTCATTAGTCAAAAAAGATTTCCCTGCCCCAGCAAGTTATGGAAAGAAACAAAGCTCAGCTGATTTGTCACCTTGTTTTCAATACTATTTTTATTGTAAGATTTTAAATTATTCTTGGTTAAGTTTCACATTTGTAACTTTCAAATTTTTTTTTAAAAAAAAAAAGGAAAGGTTTGTGGCAATCTGTGCTCTTTCACCACCAGCTGCAGAAACCAACCAATACAACAAAACTTAGATAAACCACTTACTTCCACCATACTAAATTGTTTTTTGGTGGTGGTTTTGGGACAACAGAAGGAAAAAAAGGAACATATAAAACCCTAAAACCCTCCTTACCAAATGTATGAGCATCAGAAATTAGGCCAACTCCAAACCTATGGCTTACATGTACTCTTAGTTCAGCATTGCCCTTACCAGGGAAGGGGATGAGGAAGGGAAAGGAGAAAGGGAAAGGGGTGAGGAGGAAGAAACTGGGGAGTGTTGTATTATGGGTCCGATGCGACAGTTCCTCTACCCTTGCACTGTGAAATGCATCTATGCAGCTCACAGGCTGCATCCCATTATTGGGACTGTATTTTTCCCTCAAGAGAAAGGACTGTCTAGATGCTGCTCTGGGATATCACTGGCTTCCACTTTCACTTTAGGACAGTCACTAAAGAAGTGAGAATGGGAATAATGTAAAGAAGGGAGAAGGGTGGGGGGAAACCTGCATGTCCTTTGGCAGAGAAAAGAAAGATTGTTTCTCTCTTGGGGAGCTGCTAAGTTAAATCACTCCATGAGTGATTTCCCAATCGTGCTCAAGCTAAGCTATTGACACACCACCATCCCAAGCCTCCAACAGCCTATCTCAAAGACGTAGCAACAGCCTCTGAAATTTTCCTCCCAGTGCAAACACAGGTGTTGGCTTGCTCAGTTTTCCACTACTCGTGTGCTGCAACTTCATGTTTAGAAATCTGTACTTTACTTCATGTGGCAAAACATCTCACTATTCCCTAACTATGCACTTGGGTGAGAATTCACCCCAATAGCATCCAAGGTATAAGCAACTACGTTGTCTTTGAACAGCCTCCTGGACTTCAGGAGAAGCCCTGTCCTGTGAAGGGTCCGATACTGCACTGAGACCTCTTGCTCACAAGGTCATGCCAAGGTGAATCTCTGCTGGGGTAGTTTGGAGGTCAGGGAAGAGGGCCCAAGTTCCCCTTCTCTTGCTAGTGCTTGCCTTGAGATATTCAAAGGGTCAGCAGGAGTTTTGTGTTGTCTCGGAGCTTTCGTGCAAGCAGCTTTAACGAACCTGCAAGGCATACTGAAGGTGCTGCAGAAAAAGTCCAGCAAGAGACTGTTACAAGAAACAAACCAAGTGGACCAAAAGAAGTGGGAGCTAGAAATACAGAGGAAAAAAAAAGGAGTACTGAAAGGATGCAAGACAGGCATGAGGTTGCCGCTTCTTTGTTGCTGTGCCTAGAAGGGGAGCGCTGATGTGCATACCGCCCTTGGGATGCAGGGGAGCAAAGGTAAGAACTTTTCTGTGCCCCGTGATGGTTTAAGCCCGTCTTCCAGTGCAAAGCAGAGCAGCTTGAAGAGTGTTCTAAGCTGCACTGCACTTCTCAGTGCCTCAGCTACACAGAAAGCGAGGCTACAGCAAATCCCTTCAGCCAGTCAATAAGCCCAGGAACAGGAACTTCCCTTTGCCCTGGGAACCAGACCAAGCATTTCTTTCATTTTGAAGTTGGTCCAGAAATAGCGAGACAATTTTAAAGCCTATGCCATTCTTTTTCATTATTTAATACTTTATGCAAACTCAAGTTCCTCCTTGAAAAGATCTAACCTCACCCTTCAGATCAGACCCCGATGCTACTTAAAACAGCATAGCCTTCCCCACCATGGGTATTCTTTAGAGATCTAAAATAATTTGTGTAACATTCAGATATACTAATTTTTCACTAATACAAAAATATAAATAACAATATAAAGATAGATAAACTATATATAGAAAACCTATATAAACAATGAAGTAATTATATAAAATAATATAAAAATTCATTCCCAGACAGCGAGAAGAATTACCGGCAGTAGCACTAAAAAACCCTTAAAGCACTTTATACTGGGCTATTACTTATACACTGAGAACAGCCCTACCCAAGGCTGTACAGGTAAAAATCAAATAAGAGTTCAAAGGTTGGTCTCCTAAACGAGGCTAAGTGCAGACCGATAGCAGGAGGCAGGGCATTATTACAGCTTGCTAGTACCTAACATCAAATAAGCACTTGCACGTCGGGTGCAGCTGCGCGGCTAAGCCTGCACCTCGCTCTGATGGGGAACCTCTGAGAAATGAAACGGATTATATTGGTAAAAATGTGGTATAGGAGCTTCCTTACTGGGACTTTTTTCGGCACTGATGTCTCTGTAAGAAATCTCACCCCTGTGTCTACAACAAGGCTGGAGGAGCATAAAAAGAGAACGAGGAGTCACAGCTCATTTATGCCACTACTGGCAGGTAGCAAGAAAAGGAGTTATCACCACATGCTGGTGAGCATTTATAAAGGAGACTGCCAGTAGCTAACTTGTTTTTCAGTTCACTTTAAAGTTTGAAATCTTAATTGGTGACTTACATCTCTCTTTAGATGTACTTCTTCATATTATAACTACATTATTTTTCCAATATCCCACCTGGTGTGGGCCAGAGACGAACCAGGCCTTTTGCAGAGGCAGCACTCGCTTTGCACGAACTCTCTCTCAGAAATGAGTTTCTGTAAAGAATATTTTTAAATGAAAGCATTGATTTGGTTTGACAAGTACTTGGAAGTCCTACTAAAACCTGAATCTGCATATTTTTTCTTAGGATGATTAAAAGAAACTTGGAGGATCAGATTATGGAGAGTAACAGCATGGTCTCATTCTGTCTACTTGAAAACTCCAGTCTAAATTATTTATCTTCTGGAGCTTGCAGGCTCCGAGAGAGCAGTGTTACCCCCTCCCTCTTTACTCCCTTCCAGACCTTTTCCTCCCATTACTAAATGTCACATCCACATGCTATTTCCCAGAAAATGGAAACTGAACTGCCAATGCTCATAGTGGTAGATTTAGCTAGAACCCTCTGTCCACTTCAGGAATTATCTGCCAGGATAGAGAAATTTGAGAAAAGCACAGATGAAGTTTTGTGAGCAGCACAACCAGCAAAACCTGCTTTCCTGTGGAATCTCTGAGAGCCAATACTGACTAAACTTGCACAAAAAATACCCCCCAAACTTGCTGCACTGTAACACCACCCTGGGCCAATTGCAATGATAGTCAACTAAAAGTTTGAGAAGTTGATTATACGAGACTGACTGGGCAGGATACAGAAATAAAACCATTAAAAAAGGGGTAAACTGGCAATGTGGCAATTTAATCTTTGTTAGGAGGAAGCGTAGCCTAGAGGTTCAAGTATAGTCGAAATAACTGTTGATTTGGAGGGTGTTGTCTAGCTATAAGCCTCTGGTCGGCAAAACTGGACCAAGTGGTGTCGTGGCTATGCCATTTCTCAACAGTTGTTGTATTGGTGTTATTTCTTAATATATAGTTGTGTATATAGCTGCAAACCATCACGGTGGCTAACTCTACAAGTCCTCTTGGCCCATGCTTCCCACAGACTCCTCTTGAGCACGAATGTGGGTGCTGCACTCATGGTTTCCCAGCCCCTCCTCTCCTCCTGTGACCGTACTGGTGTGCCTCCCATCCTTCCTCCTCAGGTGCCCACAGAGCACAGGCAAGCTCTACCACCATTTCTTCCACAGGAAGATTCATCTCCCTGCCTCATGGACAGCCCTGGGATTTACCTCCAAAAGGCTCAGGGACCTTGACCAAGCAGAGGCAATGTTAGTGCCATTTGGCTCGATTCCCTGTCATGTACACTCTCGCCAGCACTAGCAAACCCCAGGGAAGTACAGGTAGCTGAAGATGGCTCTGCGGTAAGAGGCGGTGCCTGCACTGAAAGGCTGAATAGACAAAGCAGAAAGAAGAAGTGAAAGAGGCCCCCAAAAAACAATCATAGAAACATGATAGAATAATTTATGTTGGAAAAGACCTTTAGGATCATCAAGTCCAACCATAAACCTAACACTGACAAGTCTACCACTAAACCACGTCCCTAAGCACCACATGTACATGTCTTTTAAATACCTCTAGGGATGGTGGCTCAACCAGTTCCCTGGGCAGCCTGTTCCAATGCTTGACAACCCTTTCAGTGAAGAAGTTTTTCCTAATATCCAACCTAAACCTTCATTGGCACAACTTGAGGCTGTTTCATCCTAACTAACAATCCTTGGATTGTTAGTCTAAGCTGTTCATGTCTGGGCTGGTGCTTCTCTCTCAACCAGCAGAGACAGAAATGGGGTTGCTTGCCTTGGATGCCAGTTCTAAATGAAACACTTTATTTCTGAGGCAATACTGGAAAATAGCACTGCTGTTTGCCTTACTGACTCATCCCAAGTGTGAATCTTTCTCTTCAGCTCTGCTCTCATGCACAGAGGAGCAGATTTGGGCACACGTCAGTGGAGACTCCTGTGCAAAGGGAAGCAAAGGCCAGGATTCCCCTCCCAGCTCTTCAAGCTAGAGCCTTTCCTCTGGATGGGTGACCCTAACTTACTGGCAGTTCTCATGGAGAAAAGCAGAACCATCATGGGACTCTGGAGTTCATTACTATGTAGGCAACACACTAACACAGCTCCCTGAAGAGTTGCTTTGTATATATTGAGTCAGTCGTTCTCGTAACGCCCTTAATGGATAGGTATTGTCTGTGTAAGAGAGGCTGAACCGTTCTAAACTGTACAGGTGCTGTGGGAAACTGGTTTTGCACACAAGCCCACCAGAAAGGCCAACTCCATGTGGTACTGAAATACAGTTGCCCCTAGGATGGAAAGCAATAACTTGCAAACTGAAGGATTATGCACCCCTTATTTAATCTTAACTAAACAGGATATAACGTAATTAGTGAAGGCAGAGTTACACTAGGATGCCAAGGAAATCTTCCCTAGTGGCAACAGATTTTTGATGAGCACTCTCGTGCAACAGATAGAACATATGCTATATAAAAAGGTCTACGCTGATACGTGTCTTTCAGAAAAGTTGTCTGCTAGTCTGTGGCTGTCCAGAAGTATTTCCCACATTCAAAGCTGAGAAGATGCCAAAGACAGCCTCTAGAAGAGAAGCAGTGCATGACTTGGCTTTCAGCACCAGCAGAAATGGCAAGGTACATATTTATAACCTCCAGTAGACTAAATCAGCTGTCACTGTGCAGCACAGATATGGGAGCAAAAAAGGAATAACAGATCTGCTTACTGATGATTTCATGTCACCTGCTGAATCACCTCCACCATTTACTTGCTTGGATTAGAGTTTCTTTCAATTGTAACTGAAGCCATCTCACCAGCAAGAGAGGCCATAACTAGTCTGACCTGTAAGACCCAGGTGGTGATGATTTAAGTCTGCATGAATACACTGAGGTAGTCACAAATTTTAAATTCAACCTTCCACAACGAACTGTAGTGTGGTTGGCAGAAAAGGACTTTGCTGTCCTTGGCTAGATATGGCAATCTCTTCTTTCAAAAGCATATGGCCAACAGCAGCAAAGCGTGTGTGCCAGCTCCAAAAGTCCCAGGGCAGTTCCTTCCCTTTTTTACACCACAGCTCAACCTGAAAGTATATTGTTTGGTAGCTAAATTAACGATGATAAATATAGCTGTTTAATCCATATATAACTGAGATTCAGAGAGTCTTGTGCTGGGTTATAGACAGCCAAACATTATACAAGAGAAGCTAAGTTCAGAGAAGAAAAAGGGTTTTTATTACCTTCCAGGTCTATTGCACCAGCAGCCCTGGGTACCTGCTGATCCCAATTCTTTCTCCTCTTCCAACGGCTAGACTTGTTTTGCCAGAGCCAGCCTTGCAAGCACAGTATTTCCCTCCAGAACTCTGAAGTTCACTTATTTTATTTAATATTTTCAGTCTTTCATCAAAACATATGTTCATAAGCTTTCCCCAAGAAGGGCACTGCACTTGCAATAAAAAAAAAAAAGTGCCCCGTGTACTTCCTTATGAGAACAATGTTCAAACATGTCAGCTCACTTATAAAAAGCAGAAAGGGCAGGGCTGCCCCTCCAGCACGTGACTTGTTCTCAGCAGCGCACTGGGCAAGAGGAAAGAAGTCTATAGTTCTCTGGGGCTTCTTGCCAAATGCTTTTTTTTTTTTTTTTTTATTCTTCTTCTTCCAAACCCTCTTTTTCTCCATGGTACAGGACAAATCAATTCATCAATTCCATACAGGAAGGTTTTTTTAAGTGGTTTTTAAAACATTTATACCTCTTGTTGTATAAACAACCGTAAATAGTCTGTGTTTTTTCATATGTCGTTGCATTTTTTTTTTTTCCAAAATCATGTTAAACATTAATTAGATAAGATTGGTAAAATACTTGCAACAGCGACATGGTATTGTTCTTGTAACTTGTGGACCAAAATTGTGATTTCATTATCCATATAACTAACCCTAAGTTAGTTGGGTCAGAAGCACACATTCATTTTAAGAGAGATTTTTACCATGCCAGTGATCTTCCATTTTTGAAATAAGCTTGTAGAGGAAATTACAAGCTAGGAGGGGCCTGATGCACATGAAATAACTGATGAGGGTGAACTCTTGCCTTTATCTGTGTCAGAGAAACGGCTTTAGGAGGTACAGAGGGGGTTTTTGACTGGGAGGATATCCCTTCTCAGCAACAAAAGCACTTGAGGCTGCGCCTTCATCTGAGGCTGCTGTACCGAAAAGGTCTGTCTGGTGCCTTTCCTGCGAAGGGAGGAATTTACTTGTAGAAACAGAAATATAAGCAGAGCCAACTTTTGCATTTCCAGGGAATAGCAGCTTGGAGTTCGCTTATACGTTGCAGGCTTATAGAAGCTTTTTTGTTCGTGTTCACTGAAGCTTTCCATTTCCTTCCTGCTTTCCTAGGGCCAACTGACCTGAGAGCAATAATAGCAGATGGAAAGCCTGCACTTTACGGATTATTAATGATCTGTCATTCCCTGGACTGCAGAAACTTCAGTTTTAGTTTACTCTTCAAACGTACACCATACCCCAATGCAGAAGGTACTTTCTCTCTTATTAAGAGGGGGGAAAAAGTGGTATTTGAGGCCCAGAAAAGGGAAGGGTAGCCTGCTGGAAGCATGAAAAAAGACCTAAACAACCACCCCTTTAAAAGTGTGATTTTTGCAGCACCAGTCAGAAAGTGAGATGATAGAAAAAACAAACTAATGTCGACTCTGCTCCATTTTATCTATTCTAATCCTTTAGAAATTATTGATTTGTTGTTCCCTGTTATATCATGACAAAACAGGCAAAAATTGGCCATTTTCCACTCATCACTTGTGTTGACCTTATAACCAGATGTATAGCTGTGCATAACTTTTGAAATATACTGGCAAAGTCAAACTTTGATTTGATTTGATTTCATTTGACTTGATTTGGTTGAAGCAGCATCACTACCCTTAGAGCAGTGACCTCCTCTGACGTACTGCTACTCACCCAACCCATCATTTCCATCTGTTTCTGCCGTTTTCCACCTCAGACCCAGAACATCCCTATACCCTTGAGAGTGGCCATTCTGGTCATCATTTTAAACTGCTGAGAAATCAAAATACCTGGATTCTTTTAAATCCCTGCTGGTATTTAGGAAAAAAAGTCTGTGTTTGCAAATTGTCAGCCCTGGCTGCACACGGGAAAAGCTGTGGCTGATTTTCTGCCTTGGCTGGAGATCTGGGTTACTAAATTCTCTGGGTGGAGGGACCTAGCTTCCTCCCTTATGGAGCAATATTAGGAACAGGGATATTTCTAAGTGTGTTACAGCCAGCTGGGGCAGGTGTGGGTATAAGGGAAGGCTCACTCTGACCAGGACTCCTTTTTTCATTTTGGCAATAGTTTTTTAAACAAACACAACTGGAAACAGTCCCAGAGGGGGCACGATGGATGTAAAAGGGAAACTCTTATAGATACAATACAATATTTTTTTTTAATGGGCTTTAATTATTTTTGCTTCTTTGTGCTTCTCTGTTTTCACCCCACTGCTTTGCCTGACAAGGAAAATTTATTTTAATAGTGTTTCCTGAAAGTGGAGAGAAGAGCAAACATTCTGAGAAATGGCAGTACATTTCCCTGTTTTACAGGAGGCTCACATTTGATTTCTCTTTCAGTTCTCAGTCCCTTCATGTTGTTTCTTAAATTAAGACCCAGACTAGGTTCTCTGTCTTGCTTGTATTACAGATTTAGTATTATAGATTTTCATTTCCTGGAGAACCCTAAATATTATCTTCTTAGGTTTCTTAACTTTTCTGTTGCTGACTATCATTTCTAACTCCTCCAGCCCTTTTTTAACTGTCTCATTACCCTTAGCTGACCCAGCCAAACACTTGACGTTGACTCACACAGTTCTCCAAAGGGGATAAGCTGTTTTAAGGGTTTTTTTCATTTCCCACCTTGGGCAAATTTAGGTCAGTTATAAGCTAGTTTCAGTTTTGTTTCTACTTACTTTCCAGCCTAAAATCCTTGATATCCCAATCTTTGATTTTTACAGTCTGTAAAAGGACACTTAAAAATAAAACCATTGTTTCCACTGACTTTAAAAGTGCCTGTGAGGACTGAGTTTCACTATATGTATAGAGCCTAAAGTATAAGAAGATCTCCCTCAGAAACTAGGAAGAACTTGTGATCTCTGGTGAGAGAAATTAGTTGTTTCCAAGAGGGAAATATAAATCAAAGAAGAAAATGTTTTGAGAGATGGAAAGGCTTGAGTTTTCTTTTTGTTGTTGTTGTTTGGTTTTGGGGTTTTTTTTCCCCACCAGAAACAACTTTAAGCATTTGTCCATTCTGAGTTGAAAAGATCTAAAGTAATTTCAGTATTTAATTAGTTCTTGCCTTGCAAGTTTGAAACAGCTGAAGATAACGTGACCTGGTCGTTCTACATTAAAGGAGCTTTTTCTGACTGACATCTAGGCAGGTTCCCCTGTCCTTCCCTGTTTAGCCTGGGGAAGAGAAGACTGAGAGGGGATCTTATAAATGCTTATAAATATCTAAAGGGCAGGTGTCAAGAGGGTGGGGTCAGGCTGTTTTCAGTGGTGCTCAGTGACAGGACAGGGGGCAATGAGCACAAACTGGAACACGGCAAGTTCCATCTGCAGATAAGGAAAAAGTAATTTACTGTAAGGGTGCCAGAGCACTGGGACAGGCTGCCCAGAGAGGTTGTGGAGTCTCCTTCTCTGGAGACATTCAAAACCTGCCTGGATGCAGTCCTGTG